ACGCTCAGTACACATTGACCGACTAGAGTTTTCGAGATACGGTGTTTGTACGAGTGTGTCATTACGGAACGGAAGCCTCGCTCAAAACGCTCATAGACGATTACTGTAGTCGAACACGAGGTGTCCTCCGAAGAGCCAAGAAAGGCAGAAGCAGAAAAATACGTATTGATTTTTCCATCTGATCTCGCCGTGGTGACGTGTGCGCGACAATTTCGTTCTACCGTACCTCGTTCTCTCGTATAGCCGCCTGGAAATCTGCACACGCCAATTTCCTGTCTCGCGTGCAGTTATTAGCGAATCGTCACGTAACGACTTCCCGGCGACACAAAAACGCAATTACAGTAATCCTCCGGAAGAAATGAGTATATAACCCCAACAACTAGAGCGTTCATGCTGACGTCATTTGCTGGGCTTTTTCGTGGCGCGTGGGTGTTAAACTGTTCTCTTTGACGACAGCCGAATCGACAGCCAAGTAATGGCAGTCAATCAATTTTACTTGAGTTTTTGATGAGCCACCTGTAGCGGATTTACGAATTGGCTAGCTGCCAAACTTTATCGGATTCATTGATTTTGAAGTGACAGTAGCCATGAGAAACAATCGATTGGGGCGAACATACCGTGAGATTCTGAAATAGCCATGCGCGGAACTTGGTGATTGCTTCTTTCGAGAACACTTTCGGCACTTTACGTTTGTGTCCATTTATGGAGCCGTTCTGACCGTCACTGAGCACACTCTCACGGCCATCCTCATTCGAACCGCATAGCGACAGCAATTCGTCGCCTGTAAACTCACCAACCAATTAGGACCCTGACACCATCAAGGCGGGTCCCGCACCGAAACACTTGCTTCGCGAGGTTGACTCAAGAATCACCAAATCGGATTAGGTGGGCTTAAGGCTGTGGGGGTAGGCCATGGAGAATTCCGTTAAGAGAGTTAAGAGTAATAACAAAATGGCAAAAACCATGGAAGGACATGAAATTGCACTTAAGAACACTTATAAAACGAAAAAGTGCACACAAAAACAAATAAACCACGTCAATCGCAGCCAGTCCGATGATGTCGCAGCAGCAGCGTTGCAAACGAAAAAATTAAGAACACAGAAAAGCGAGTGAGTAAAAGCGGTTAGATGCAATTACCGTCAAATGCTGGAAAAGCCAGGCTCGAAGAATGTTGGTCGCAGGTTTCGGGAAAATCCCACGTTTCTTCGCTTGTTGAGCAGCCGTTTTGCCAGTGGAACGTTGTGGTGTGTCACGACCAGCCGATTGAGGTGGATCGGATGGATGTTGTGGATAGGCGACGATCTGTTGACAGTACTCGCCAATGTACATGTCATAACCGCCTGCGCCATGATGTTGATCAGCTGTGCTGGTCGCGACGATGCCGTAGCCTGTACAGTCCATGAGCAGACCGGTCGGTAGAAGACATTCATCCATCAGATCGCCACTGCCAGTCGTAGACATACAAAGCTCTGAAAGCCGTCGACGGACAACATTGAAAGCTCATTAGGCAAACGCAACTGAGCGTGAAATCCGCGATACTCACGGCATACTCATAACTGTTATTCTGAAGCGACACACAGACACCGACAAGGGCCAGGTGGCACTGACGAATCGTCGCCTGTGGAGAGACGCAGGACGGGTGGACGGACGGACGGACGAACGGACACAATGTGCACATGCCGGGAAGAAGCAGAGGCGTGCAGGGCAGAAGAGGATCTTCTGATTGTCCGGAATGGACCGTGCAACTGATAAGAACTGATTCACACACGAATACGAACACGACACCACAGACATTCAGAGGACAATAACCGCAGACAGACAGATGGGTAGGTTTTGTGTAGGAGGGCTAACTCACGTGGTTTGATTTAGCATATTGACCGGTCACAAATGGTAGCCATCAATTCTGATAGAATTTCCTCATAAATCTCACCCAAGCGGTGCAACGAAGTGGTTTTTGTGTTGAGTGTGTGTTACAACAGAGTTTGCTGCTCTAGTCTACTGCACTCGTTTACAGGTGTTCAGGTAGCAAATCTGGATCTATCAGCCCATCAGAAGGGCCACTGATAGGTGTTGGATAGATGGAGCCCAACGATCAAGATAAAGGAAAAGAAAGGAAAGACGTTAGCTAAAAGAATGGATAGGAGTAGGAGGTGTAGGTGGAAGGAAGGAAGGTTGGTTTGCAAAGCAAGCGATCAGGCGGGACTGAAAATTGGTTTTGAAAAATGGAAAAATCTACGATTTAAGTTGTTAGTCGATAGAAAGTGGTTAGCATTCGTTTTTTAAGGCACTAACCAGCTTCAGAGATTGAGTCCAAACTTGGAGGATTGCCATTATTGCCAGGTTGTCCAGGTGTGTCACCAGATTGTGGGGTGACATCGTTCCGAAGGCATGTCGAACTAAAACACCTCAATGTGTTTCAACTGCTTCAATTTCTCAGAAGGCTCACGACGGCATCTGCCTCAAAGAAAATAGCCTCGTTTATCTTGTCCCACCTGCTAGGGCTATTGACGGCTTGCATGGGCAGGGTTTGGGACGTCCCAGCCGCCGAGGGTGACGTCCCGCCCATCGCTAAAGGGTGGCCCGGTTGAGAGGGTAATGGATAGCCCATTGACGGTCCCTAAAATGAAATCATGAAATCTTAAGCATTTGAGACGAAAAAAAAACCGTGGAATATCAAATCGAGAAAAGAAAAAAAGATGAATGAAATCATTTGGTTGATGAACCTTCATTGACAGCTCTGCGGAAAACGTTTTGAACGTGTGGCGTTTTTTCCTCGTGCTCACACAGCACTCTTCAACAGCGCCACTTACAAAAACACCTAACAGAAAGCTGATAAGCGTCTTCAACAAATCGATCGCCTCTAATCGCCCAGCCCAGCCCAGCCACCTTGGAAAGGGCTTCCAATCTCTCCTTCCTCCTTTTTTCACCAAGGGGGTTTACCAAGGGCTACACGCCGCCTTTCTCTTTGAAACCTGCCTGTTTCTTTCAGACTGGCTCAAAAAGAGCACCAGTGCACCATCATGAACTTGTGACCGAATAGAAGCACAGTCGAAGCCCTACAGTAATCCAACGGTTGCCAGCTCCGCGCACAAGTTTCGCGCTCGAGTGCAAACAAAGCAGCGCAAGCGCGACGGCGCTTCGAAAACAATAAAACAAAGACACGACGACGACGACGACGATGCACTGAGGGATACGGTAGGGCTAGACAGTGCGGTTGTGGTCGAGGACGAACAAGGCCACCGAATTTCACAGAGTACAAACTACGGTACCGGAATGGTAATGATTGCTAGTTGATCATCATTGTCTGAAACGAATAGCCATTCGGGTCAAGTACAACCAAATTCTGGGGATTAGGATCCCTCATTGAGAGGAATCCTGGATGCGCACTTCCCAGTGAAATATTTTCGAGTTGACTTGATCAATTTTCACTCAAAAATTGGACGCGTAGATCAAAGTTCAGAGACAGCTGTTCATTAGAGCCTCACCTTGCCACTGCTTGCTTATTCAGGACGGTGTCGAGTTCAGAAAGAACGAGTTTTAAAAACGGCACCCCGACATGGCTTTTTTCTTCTTTTTTTTCGCCATTTTTTGGCTAGTACGTCCAAATTCGTGCACTATTGATTGATCAGTTTATCAACTGATTTAGTACTGTGATGAAAAATTTCCATCTATTCATGTAGGAGCTAATTCTTTTGAGGTTAATCCATTGGGATCGACGTCAAACTCTGCGAGCTATAGGGTCTTAAAATGGACGTGGTTATCCAGAGATAGCCCTCGGGATCACGAATTAGTCAACCTTATTAGCATTGCTCCGTTAAGGAACTAAAGTGCTATAATGGTGCCCAAGCCCAAGTAAATCCTCTTCAGTCCTTCCGCATTAAGAGGTCCCAAACCCACTTTGGCGGAGCGACTGCCTACCGGAAACTCTGTAGATGTTACCCAAAAGGTAGATCTTGCCTCCCTGCCTAGTTGGCCAGGTTCGTCATCCCCAACAGCCTTGAGGGGTTCACGAAAGACGTGCCGACACAAGGCGTAAGTCGAGTGGTGCGCTTGAAACCTGCCGCTCGTTGGCATGCAGACACACGGGGCCGCAATGGCGGTGATTTCCCGCAAAGCGGAAAATTAGCATAAGATTAGCTGCTTGACCATGGAAAGAGGGGATCTCAGTGAAAGATGATACGCGTCGCGTGAGTGCGCAAATATGCATTAAGCGACTTTCACCACGAACGGACATCGTCTCGTCCGCCTTCTCCGACGTGGCGAACAAAGTGCCTTCAAATTATAGATTACGCTCCTAGGCCTGACGTATGAGGAGGTGGCAGGCTTTAGTCCAAACAAATAGGGATATCAGACTGAGATAAGGTGGCAAGGAACGTCAGGGGGCATGGATCCAGAATCCAGAAACTTCTGGGAACAAAATAAGCGGGTGAATATAGAAGAATTACCATCAAAGTGAAAAGACAGCCCTGTCACCTGCTTGAAGAGCTCTCCAGGGGAGGAAATCTCGCAACTTTCACTCAAAAATGCCCCTCCTTCATGGTTATGCCACCTGACGCTGGAATTTCCAGAAACAGGGAGCATGATTTTCAAAATCCACTTATGCTCGGAAAAAATTTCATGGCGGAGGTAACAAATGCTTTGAAAATCGCACAAACTGCTGTGATCGAGACGATTTTTTCCCTCGCTTTTTCTTTCTCTTTTTTCTTCTGGATTCTTTTTCAAGCTTTTTGTTAGGGGAGAAATAGGCAAGTTTTTCAACGGGGGTACTCCGAAAGAAAAACGAGAACAAATAGAACAGCTTGAAAAGTTGGAAAATCCACTTATATGAGGTCATTATCTCACAGTGAATTTTATCAACGCTGTTAACCAGCAGGCTGATGGGCAGACAGCTGACCGATAATTTTGATTGAGCACGATTCGGTTCGAAAATTTCCGAGATTTTGGGCAAAAATGAAAGCGACGAAGTTCCAGCTTCAAATCTACAGATTATTTAGATATATTTTTTACTCACGGAAACCTCCTTCAACTTCTTGGAGGAGCCCTTAATTGGATAGATCTGATATAATCTCTTGATTAGAATTTTTATCGGCTGTGAGTCGGACTTCAACCAAACCAGCCAAAATCCTGACCCATACCCTCAACGGCAAGTCCTTTGCAACTCTGGAAACTTCAAAGAGGACCACTAAGATCACTAAGTGTACACGGCAGAGATAAGCCACATTTATCCCATAATTTACGCACTGCTGGAATAGGATATTCCACCTCAAAGCTCGAAAGCTTCGAGGTGTACACGGAATTTCAAGGCAATTTATTAGATTATTTTTCGAGCTAATCTGGCTCATTGGTGACGTCTGCATAGAGCAGCTTTCAACAGAATACATAGGGTCTTGATGATCGTAGAGATGGGCCTAGTAGCCTCATTGGGTCCTTACAAGACCGCTTTCAAAAAGTTTGCTTGATTAATCGAAACCCCATAACTTCTTGAAATCGCGGCATCTAGTAACTTGAACTTGGCTGAACTTCGCGACGGCGCCTGTCAATCTCAAATATTTATGCGGTGCTATTAGGGGCATTGGAGTACCCATAAGTAACTGACGGCTGACGTATAATGTGTTCAACGCGAGTATAAACGGCCATTTATTTAACAGATAGCAGCAAATCCCCTCGCGGCCACCAACGACCACAAACGCGATCAATGCGCTTACACAACCACCAGCAAGCTCCTCGATTTTGAGGGTAACGGGTCGTCGACTACCGTCAGGTGGTGTGCGATGTGGTGTGTGTGTGTCGTGTGATGAGTTGAGGTGAAATGATGGGTGGTGGATTGATCGCCGAGATCGATACCCTTCAGCCACCACCACCACCTCCATCACCACTAGCATCAGCAGCTTAAGCTTGAGCTCGCTGTGACGAGACGGACCGCTACGGCGGCGCCCCGTTCGACTACGACCAAGACGCCGGCACTTATAAATCAGTCGCAGCACTCACTCATATGTCAGGCGCGCACGTCACACAACAGATGTTTTCATTTTCAAATTCAGCATTTATATCGATCGTATTGAGGGGATACGGTAGCTGCGAAAAATCTGTGCACACACACACACACTGACCTCCATCGAATTTGGCATCGCTCGGTTATTCTCGGGCAGCGGAACGGATTGAGGCTCGTATGGTGGTTGGAAATGGCTGAAAGTGAATGGCTTGGTTGAAGCGGTTAATTTTCGGCGCTATCGCAAGATACGGGGGCATTCTGCAGAACTGAGCCTAGCTGGAGGCTTAGTCCCGATTTCAACAAAAAGGAGGTGTTTGACGCGGTTTTGCCCCCACAATGCCCCCGTATCTTGCGATAGCGTCCAATTTTTTTATTCAAAAAACACTTACCTCATAGGAGTTCCCATACTAGGACTAGCAGATTGGGCGGTCGATCCAGGTGACATGGGTGGTTGGGAAGACGAGGCTCGCTCATCGCCGACGATGTCCATCGGCATTTTCCCTTTCAGACACGTGACATAACGGTTACAGAAGTTGTCGCAAAGCTCATGAACCTTAAGAAAATAAGTTTAACTCTAGCGAGGTAACGACTAGGAGAGTGGGAGGAGCATGAAAATAATGGAAGGAGATAGCGTGCAAGGACTTAGTTGTTAGGGCGACCGATTAGAAAAGCAGTGCAGTTGTGGTGATTATTTGATATGCCACGCCAGCTCTATAAAAAGGCTCAAGTGGGTCGCCCCCAAACGAGACCCCTAGGGAGCGGCCAGCGCTCTCGAGGAGCGGACGGCTGCTTCTTTCTACTACTTTCAATCCTTGGCATTTATTTATAACCTAACGCGGTTCAGTTGCAGCAAATAATCCCTAATCATCATTAGCTGGCTGAAAATAGCTGTACATATTTTGTAACTCTGTTTTATCACGTAATATTTATCACTTAAAATCACCATGTAATCAGCTCTTAAGCAGTAATGTGCGTGTACACGTAAGCCCACTTATATAAATTTAGGGGATCATTGGTTATGCCGCTACAAACAGCCTCATTTCACAACCCTATTGGACCAAATCGGATTCCCCGGGGCGAATCGTTCCCGATGAGGGATCAGCAGGGATGAGCCATTTCGCTGACGACAATGCTTTGGTCCTGATGCTTCTATCAGCGTAAGTCAACGAAAGCTCTGTTCACTGATCAGTCTGAGCTGACCTCGACCTCCAGTTCAGTTCCACGTTCACGGCATCACCTGGTCCAGCTCATTCAGTTCTACTGACATGTGTATCCATTATGAAGTTGTCATTTGTCACAATGATTCGGCTAGTAAATCAATAAAGACTGTCAGCGGTCTGAAGATGAAGACAAATCCGTTGCCGCCGAGACGCCGATCGTCGGGGGCCGTACGTCTCGCTGCTGACGCGCTCAAGTCGTTCCATCAAAGTTTCACGCGGCTCGCTCCATCGTCGTCGTCGTCTCACTCTGATCGATAGACCATCAGCGATGTCATTATAGTGACAAAGTGATACGTGTTACCGATTATTTATGTAGCATTTTGATTGAAAACAGCCAGCCGCTACGCCCTCAATATCGATTTTTCGGTAGTATCTCAGAGAGCGAAAAAATCCGCCATGATGGTCCGACGACGAACGCCCTTCCCCCCGTGGGCTTCGCTCGACAGTGGCGACCACGACGAAGTCAACCGTCCCAACTAGTATCGGGACGCGCGAAAAAATCCGCCGTGATGGTCCGACGACGAACGCCTTCCCCCCGTCGGCTTCGCGACAGTGGCGACGACGACGAACGTTCCAATTCGGTGTGTGGAGCACGTAAAACGACGGGTTGCGCGATGGCGTCCCGCAGCGCACGCGCAGCGCCACGTCAGAGAAATCCAATGAAATAAAAACGAACGAGGAAATGTGCGTTTTCATTGAACGAAGTTGGGTTGAGGTCGAAAAAACACGAGACGAACGCCGTTCTGAGCCCCAGTCACCCTCCTTGGACGAGAAAAAACACGAACGAACGAAACCATCTCCCGGAAATAAATACAGAGATAACGAGGAACTGATAAGTGGTGTGTGCAGGTGTAGCGGCTTATGAGAACACCACTGCACTTCTCCTGTGCGGGACTAACCGGCGGAATGTGGAGGTAAGCTGAATTCAGCTGAAAAATTTCGGTTCTTAGGTATCAAAAGATCGATTATTTCAAAGAAAACCCAGACTTTTCGAACAAAATCAATTCAGTAGTTAATTCCGAGCAGCAAGGGGAGGGGAGTTAGAAGAATGATAGGTATGGGATAGACAAGGTCTCATGAAATTTAGCTGGTTCCAGGATATCAGAAGAATGCAGGGTTATGGGCAAAACACTTCTTCCCAGCGGGGAATCGAACCCATCAGCCCCATCAGACCGCACCTCATCAGAATTAGTTTAGGGATGTTCACAGAAGAGCAGTGCTGTTCTTAGTAGCGATATGCTGTGGTGAAGAAAGATTTGGACTATGTTTTAGACTCGGAATCAGGTAACGCCCAATTTTGATATCGAAATTGGAAATCTGATGGGTTGGAGGGCATGAACTGTGACAGTCTGGAAGCAATGCTCGTCCCCAGCAAACTCACGACTAAGGGTGAAAGAGGCGACTTCAAAAAATGCCCAGCCCCAGTTAAATTTCTTGGTCTCAAAGCTGCAGTTTCTTATCTCGAATTTCTGATGCCAAATTCTCGAAACTAGTCTCTTTATTTGTCCAGTTCTGTCAAACGGCTGCATGTATTTCGACAGACTCCGGTTGAGTGTCCCAGGAGGGACTCGAAAAGTCAGTAGTGATGAACATGGCTCAGAACGGACGGCTTCAGTAGCCGTTAGAGATACGTACGGATGACCCATTTCGTAATATGAAAGATTCTAAGTCCGTACATAAGATGGCGAGAGCAAAATAGTATTATTATGTCCATAGTAATGGTCGAAGTTCAAACAAAACCTGTCATTAGCTATGGCGCATCTTTTACTTGATTTTTTTTCCTTGTCTTGTAAGGTTCAGCTGGCCAAAGGCTCTAAGTTCGAAACAGTGGGATCGAATTTTGGCTCAGAAAGAAAGAGCTTTCTTATCGCTTATCGCGTCAATGGACAGTATTCAAATTTAGGTCAGGAAAGCATCATTATCGGCTCATTCTTCCACCAAAAAATGTCTCCGAAAATTTGGCTTCCAGGGGTTATGAGCGGTAGCGCCTCAGACTGAGGCACTCTCCAGCGCTCCCGGAATAAACCCATAATCGCTTACCTTTTCCAGCTCGAGTAAATGAAAGCGAAGCATCTGAATCGACTGAAGCATGAGATTGTCGAGTTCTCGATTCGGTACGTAGAAAGTGTTCTCCATTTTCACCTGGACATGCACAAAGTGATGATAGTGATAAAATTTTCAGTCAAAGGGGTCACTTACAGTTTTAGCGAATTCGGCGAGGTCTTCCTTGAAGGAACTCGATGAGCAGACGTCATTGCTTGAAGTTCCATCGCGATTCTGCTCGCGAGGAGTTGACGTGGCCAGCTCGCACTTCTCGAACAGCACCGTTAACAGCGGAAAAAGTGGATGTCTGTAAGTGGGCAAACTTTAGCTTGACTCGCCGCTCTTGGACAAAAAAAGCTGAAAAACATGTACAAAGCCGGCGAACGGCTCATCCCAAGGGGCCCTGCCAGCAGACTATCCACTGCTGGGGCCTCAACAAGAATTCCCCGAGCAAAATTAAGCCAAACTCACGAATGGATAGCCGCTTTGTCACGCTTCACTTGTTCGTCGAGATGAGGATGCATCATTTGATCGCTGGTTGACATTGGTCCACCGAGCGGATACATACTATTGTAGTATGGGGCCATGTTGCCGGACGGATCCGCAGGTACTGGATAGGAGCCCTCACCGGGAGGAGCGGGAGGTCCATAGCCATCGCCGTACTAAACGACAGTCATTATTGAATCACAAGGCGGCTAAGAAATGCTGGAAGATGGAATTGTGAGAGGCGCGCTATCTACTGCTTTGGATGTCGATCTCATCTCTGAACGGGAGATTTACAGCCTTTGCGACGAGCTGGAACGCCACTCGCTGGGAAAGGTACGCCACTACGAATTAGTTTAACGATTATTTTCCTTCAAAAATTCAAATTTCACTTCGCCTAACGCAGAGAATAAATCGTTTGAATAGTGCTTTTGTTGTTGTTTATAATAAAATTGAAATTCAAGAAGGTTTTTCGAAATAGTCTGCGAAAAGTGGAGAGGTGAGAGATGAGAGAAAAGCGGTGTAGCAAGAAAGCAAGCAGTGCGGTCATAAAGCCGGCATCAAAGTTATAGCCTATTGAGCTGTCTTCTCTGACACGTAGCTTAAAATATAGTCGAAGGAATGGCAACGCGACGACGACGAAACGAACAGAGGTCCTGGACGGTGCTGCTGTTGTTGGTCGTCTACAAAGACGGCTGAACAGCGACGACGACGACGACGGCGTTGCGCTCAGAGGGGGCGCCGCAGATGCGATAAATAACCGCATATGTTACGGGGTGATATTTCAAATACGCAACGACAAGTCGTGAATAAAATGAAACGAACGAATAAATGTCCATGATGTTGGAAAAAATGTACCCTGTGGGCCATGCCTGATAGGCACACACGATGCGACGATGGTTGGGGCGGGGACACGAACTCGCCAACACCACGGACGACGTTGACGGATGACGACGGGCTGGACGACGCGTTAGCCGCTGCGCTACGTGGCGGTGGTAGTGCTGTGCTTCTTTTCTTGCAAATACAGATGAATATGAGGTGACAGCTCTCTGACGATGTTTCCGCGAGCGCTTCGCAACAGCCGCACAGGCAACGCGCGCGGGCCGCCACACGTGACCCCGCCCCCGGTGACGGCACCGCGGCCAATCAAATCCCTCGACCACGCCCACGCCTGCCATCAGCCTTACGGTAGTTGAAAGACATTGATTCAAACTGGGCAGTTATTCCAAACACATCCAATCTTTCTACTCATCATGTCATTGCCATCGTCGACATTTGCCAACTGTGATAGGAGAACAATATTCCGAACACAATCAATCAATTCTGAAGTGATGCTGATTAGGGAATAAGCACGAGGAGAGATATAGTGATACGGCGCACGGCCCATCGAACTGGTTTGGGAACGACGCGCTATAAAATGTGATAGATTAGAGAGTTATCCGGGCGCCCGCTGAAAAATAGCCTTCAGTTCGGTGTCAGAACATCGTGAGAAATTCACTTTGGTTTTCTAGATCCTACCTCAATACTTGTCCTCAAGTTCACTCACTCAATTGCAGCCATTTATTTATTTAAGTTGAAATTCGGCAACAGCACTCAAAGAAAAGCCTCAAGCTCACCTCGATCGGATCCGCTTTCTCGAGCTTAACGAGGCTTGATGATGAGTCGTTGATCGGCAAAGTTGCTGGAGCTGCCACTGGGAATGCCCCAGAAGGTAGTGGAGCATGAAACTGCCACATATCCATGGCTCCCGGCCACAGTTGAGGCTCAGACATTCTGGAAAAAGAAAATTGGCGTGAAGAAAGTGCTAGAGGAGACTTCAGCTGATCAAACGGAAGAAGCGATATGAGAGAGAGCAGAGATGAGGTAAGACAACCCTGCGATATCCAGTACCTGTTGGGAAACCTGTGTAGGCATGATGAGCAGTAAAGAAAACGCTTGTAATGGGCCTGGTGGCCTAGCACCGACGACAATCACTGCGCCCTGGGCCTAGTTTTGGGATATTTGGCCACCGACCGATTATCGCAGTGATCAGCTACAAGTATTAGAGCGAAGATGAAAGCATAGAATCCTAGAGCTAAAAAATGTTCACCTGATGAGGATTGGACTCTACTCAACTCCGAAATTTAGTAAACAAGTAAACAGAGGAACACGCCCGCCCCGTCATCTCATGCATTCATTGGATCAAGTGCCTTCGTGGCAGCGTCAATTAATTCCACTTAGATTAATGCTAGCGGACAAGGGGCAGCACTAGACGATATTGCTCAATGCTGTGCTAATCACTAAATTACAGGGTTGTTCCAGCTTGAGAATGTTGGGAAACGTATATATTAAAAATTTTGCCCTCACAAAATACAGTACCATTGGTCCGGCGTGACAAACCTGTTTATTCTTTGAAATGTTTCAAACCAGCGGCTTCCTCGAAGGGACGCATTTTACACTCATTCAGGTGGCATGTGAGCACAGCAATTGTTCTCCACCTCTGATGCGGCACAGAGATTGAAACGAGTCCCACATTTGAACCCAAAAAGATCGCGATATCTTTCCCCAATTCGCGCTATGACTCCACAAGGCACACGGCTGTTAGTCCCCTATGAGGTGTTGAAATTGAATCATCGCTTATGGCAGAAGACGTGCCGACCAGCAGAGGGCTGTCACCGAAAGAGCGTTGGTCTTTAGATCTTTAGATAGTTGCTAGATATCGCAACATTTCCAAGAAAACAGAAAAAGCCCTTATCACCTCCTCAGACAGCACCTACATTTCCAGGGCCTATTTTTGGGCTGAAGACGACGATGGGCTGCGAAAAGGATCGATCGCGACAAAAAATTTCCGACATCGTACACGACGGCGGTTCGGGACCGATGATTGATGTCTGTGTATGAACACGCACAGGTGTGGTGTAGGGCCATGCATGGATTGAATCGTTGGTAAACGACCGGTTCGTTTTTGACAGGGTAACCCATAAAAGGTAGGGCAGAGCTCAGAACGATAAACCTAAAATCGGCCGTACTTGAGCAGCACAAGTACAGCACTCGCTCAAAGGACCCTTTCTCTATAGGAAAACGTTTTTTTCTCGCTTAATATCGAATTAATTCGCCGTCAAGTGACTGGCAGCGTATTGTGCTAGAAAATTAATGGCTAATAGAAAAAGTCAGGGGGAGTTGCCAATTAGAATTACAGACTGACTGGTTGAAGTGTTTGATAGAAGCGAACGCTGCTACTGGAGGATTTCGAGGGTTACTGGAGGTTTCTGAGGGCCATCGGAGGTTTAGTGGAGGAATCTGAGGGCCAGCGGAGGGTTGATGGAGGATTCTGAGGGCCAGCTGAGGTTTAGTGGAGTATTCTGAAGGCCAGCGGAGGGTTGATGGAGGATTCTGAGGCCAGCGGAGGGTTAGTGGAGGATTCTGAGGGCCAGCGGAGGGTTAGTGGAGGATTCTGAGGGCCAGCGGAGGGTTGATGGAGGATTCTGAGGGCCAGCTGAGGTTTAGTGGAGTATTCTGAAGGCCAGCGGAGGGTTGGTGGAGGATTCTGAGGGCCAGCGGAGGGTTAGTGGAGGATTCTGAGGGCCAGCGGAGGTTTAGTGGAGGATTCTGAGGCCAGCGGAGGGTTAGTGGAGGATTCTGAGGGCCAGCGGAGGTTTAGTGGAGGATTCTGAAGGCCAGCGGAGGGTTGATGGAGGATTCTGAAGGCCAGCGGAGGGTTAGTGGAGGATTCTGAGAGCCAGCGGAGGGTATTTTTCCTGCACAAGGTGGATGCCGGTACAAAAGCATTTCCATGTGCTCAGCTATAGCTCTCATATCTCAGCGATTTTTGAGGAAGAATGATAAGGAAGTCGCGAATAAAAGGAAAAACAGCCGAATAAGCCAGGAAATTCAAAAGAGATAGGAAAGAAGAGCTTAGAACTTCAAAAAATCAAATTTTAAGTGGGAAATCCTCCACAAAAAATCGCTATTTACACGGTTATTTCAAAGGCTGGGATTTCTAAAACGCAGCAATCGATGAGGTCAGGGCCAGGAAGAGGTGGTTGGGTTCTCGAATCGAAAAAGCCGAATGCAAACGAAGCATCTTCCAGCCAGCTCTTGCATGCCATTAAATCCATTAAACACTTAGAGCCGTGCTAATAGCTGATCAGTGGACAGACAGAACGGCCGTGCAGAACTCGCCTGCGCCACTCCTGCACCTAAGGTGGTGGCTGTGTAGCGCGAAGCGCTAATGAATTAACCAAACACATAAATCGCTATGAACGAGCCGCCATGTACAAACAACAAAATGATAGATGAAATTGATACACAGGTGGATAAGCCTATTAGTGAGGTTACGAGTGATTGAGGGCGCGTTTCACGTCACGATTTGAGAGAGCCGGGAACGAGCCCCTGTGTCTGATCTCACCGACACCCTCCCGGGTCAGCACAATTAACCAGCTAATTGGTGGGAAGTTCGAGATTTCGCTAGTGTGCTGAGCTGGGAACGATAATTAATGCTGCTATCAGCAAGATCGAATGAGATATGTACTTGTCGCTTGGTTCACCAGCAGTCAACAATGACATTCGTTTGCACCCAAGTGGACATCAATTGACTTCCAACACCAAATATGGGCATTCGGGTTTGTTGGCGCTAAGGGGGTAGAATCAGGATGGCACTGCAGGGTTGAAAAATACTAACCAGTGACCAGTGGGAACCAGTGACCTATAGCGAGGTTCGAGGAACTATCTGGACCTCTAGAATGGCATGGGGTAAAACTTGTCGTAGACTAAGGAGCGCTCTGCAATAGTTATCTATTGAGTGGTTTACTACATAGAGGGAAGTTTCGGCAGGATTTTTGGACGCCAGTGAAAAGCTTCGGGCCTCAATTGCCTGTCCATTTTCAGGCTCTGCCGAAGAAGCAAGTGGCCCAACACGCCCTCAATAAAAAACCATTCCATTATCGGAAGGAGGCGACGGCAAATTAAAGGCACCAAGTTGCATGAAAAAACCCTGAAGAAAAAGGCGATTTCCGGCCCATCTACGTTTTGGTTGAATCCTCAATCGGTTATCAGCCCAAGCAAAATTTGTAGGAAAGTCCTGCGAAGCTTGGGCTGATAAACCTGGGCTTTCAGGGCAGTACCGAATAAAGGACGAAAGGACTGTGAGAAGACAGAATAAAGCTTGATCTGAATGGTTGAAATAATAAATCAGTCAAGCGGAAAATTTGAGGAAAAAGAACTTTGAGCGAATGAGGAAGGAATAAAGCACCGGCGATATCGAAGAGAAAAAGGCTGAGGGAAAGCCACCGACACCGACCATGATTGTATAACCTGTTTTGGGTACTCGGCTCGGCTCGCTTGAGTATAAACTGTCGGATCGAATTACGCGATGACGCCGCAGTGTTCTAAGGGTTGACCGCCACGTCCGCGACCCGCCTCCTTCTCCTCATCGTCGTCGTCGTCCTCCTCCTCCTCATCCTCCCGGTCCATTGCCATATCTTTTTCGGAATTTGCATACGGCCGGACTATCGTGGCTTTGTGTCGGTGATGAGCGGTGGTTGTGGTGGTGGCCAAGAAGTCACAAACAAGGACAGATGTGCCGCGCTGGACCCGAAAGCCGAGAAAATGATTTATGGTTGCATCGACAGCTCATATGATCGTAGGTCAGATCGTCATCTGCCATCCCAGACACCTTCGTCTGACAAAATGAACGAAACGATTAGAACAGGCAATGAGCTCAATCTCACCTTCTGCCTAGGCAGTTCCAGTTATGTGGACCTCGACCAAAACACCGAAACCAGATTTACACGCGAGGGGGGATGAAAAATAGCCGACGGGGTCTACAGGATTTGTCAACGCGCCGGGCGTTTAACGCAGCTGTGTGTTCACGAGTTGTAGTATGTCTTCTTAGACGCACGATCATTCATAATTGACGGCCTATAAATTTTCGGCTCGTAGCGAAGTTGACATGAGCGGCGAACGTGGCGGAAATGGGAACGGGAAGATCGCCATGCACTTGTGAATTTCCATATACAAGAACCGCGAAAAGGCACCGGTGGTTTAGGATGGGCGATCGGCAACGCGAAGAGACGACAGGCTCACCAGCACAACCGCCGGGACAAAGACTTTTTGACGTCGTTGCCAGATGTCCACAAGTTGAATGTAAGCAACCAACGACTTGCAAGAGTCGACTGATCATAAATAGCGCCGATTCCACCAGCAAGAAAAGAGCATTGGGTTTGGGGTAAATCGAAGCCTTACCGGAACCCAAGAGCCATTGACTGAGATCGATGAAATCTCGAACTTGAGGCTGGAGAAGTCGCGTAGCTGAGCCGCGCACCAACATAGTACGGTGGAACTCGAGTGGGAAACATTCGCAGAGACAGAAGCGTTCCCCCTCTTAACGGCTAAAGCAATGCCATTAGAAAACGATCTAATCAGCTCTTAGAACTGATTACAACGGATTCATCTGACGATAAACGACTTCGTAAACCGCCCCGTGACACGGCTTACAGTAACCAGTAGGAATTCAATAGCCACTTAAGGACATTGCTAGGGGGCGAAGGAAATGGAGGATCAGAAAAGAAGGCTGAGGAACAAAGTGCAAGCAGTGATGCCAGCGATGGATATCGCTTCTTGGCCAAAAATAAGTAGGAAAATCGAAATTTTCAGGTACTCGTTAAGCAGAGGCTAACCAATTCGACACGTAGGTAACTGCATAAAGCGATCTCCATAAAAAATCGAATGTTGCGCCCGTTCGATGAGGGTCAACGCGTAAGGCTATCGTACGGTGTCGTAAAGGCGTATTTTA